AAGACACCGTGAATGAAATAGATATTATTGTTTCTAAATTAAAATAAAGAAACAGATTCAAAGTTTCATGACTTGTTAACTGGGGTCCGTCATGTCCACTAGGGGGACACAGGTGAAGTTCCCTCTTCCTCCTCGGGGAGGCGAGCACGAGCCACAGCCTATTTAAAGAAGAAGCTCGCGGCTCGTCGGTCTTTACCTCAGCGGACACGTGTGAGTGGAGGGAATCGAACGCGTCCAGGCTTCACAAAGTCAAACCTCATCATGGGCTCCTTCATCTGTCCCGACGGGTTTTATCGTAAGTATGTCACGTCAACACATTCGGAGAGAATAACGTCAACGAGGCGGTGACGGAGTTTGAGCCTCGATCTGTGGACACGTGGGAATTAGCCGGACCCGTTTAAAACGAGTCAGAATCCGTTTTACGACTCTTAACATCAGAGAACACCAGCGTTACTATGGTAGCGGTTAAGTTAGCAACACGTGGAACCAAGTGAATTAACATAAAACATGTTTTCAGACCCAAGACACGCGCTACAACATGCTAACATTAGCATGGCCGGGGTATGGTGCGTTGCTAGCATGCACTGCTTCAGCTAGCCTCGATGCTAACTGGAGGGTCGTAGCCAACGTTGAATGTTGATATGTTCCAGTTTCTGGGGTAAACCGAGAATTTCATGTTATTTTCTCACTGAATCGTTTGGCTACTTCACTGTCAATGCTGGAAGCAGCGATGTTACAGTGAATCATGTTGATTTAATATAGAAACTGACATTTACAATACGAGAGAGACATTTAAATTCCTGTCGATCCTGGATCAGTAGCTATCAAAGTTAATATGCAGCCCTGTACTGATGATTACATAGATTAGAGCTGTAATTTGTAGTTGATGTATTAATCCATCATCTGAGATTAAGACAGCTGCTCTATCAGGTATTAGTTACAGCTCTAATCTGCTAATTCTTTAGTATATTAACTTTTGGATTCTAAGACAAAGCAGTGACTTATTCTGGAATAAAGATTCTAACGTTAATGTGCAGCCCTGTGCTGATGAAAGAGCAGATTAGAGCTGTAACTAAGATCAATCATCATCAGCCGAGAGTAAGATAGCAGCTATATCAATTATTCATTTGGATGATTTTCAAGTAAGATGTGTTAATATTCACAGGTCAAAACCAGTCAAATGTTTTGTGTGAGCTTATTACTTGATTTGAAATACCAGTGTTCTGTTTGTCTGTTTTGAGAATAAATAAATAGCAATAATCTGAAAACCTGTTTGGGAAATAATTGTTGGCAGTTAATCATCTTCTGCTTTAAGAGTTCAAATATACAGATGTTTGTCTCACACCTTAAAGTAATCAAGACTTTTCATATTACCTGTATGTTTTGAGCAAAATAACAGAATTAGAAATTTCATCACATGTCAAGTTAGTGTTAATAGATTTGAGTTCAATAAGATATTTGATTGATGGACCTCTGGAAAATAAACTTCTACTGCGCTTCCCCCCAGTGGATCAAATGCCATTTGTTGGACCCCTGTATGATCCTGATGGAGGATGATGACGGTGGTGTCTGATCTTCAGAAGAATCCTGTCCTAATGACATCACTGGTAACATCACAACTTGTAGTTACAGCAGTGTGACTACTGGTGAAATGGGTCTGAAAGCACCTCCTGTCTGCACCAGCTCTGTTTGAAAAGGTATTTGAAGTTACTGTACGTCTTGTTTTGTGGATATGCGTGTAGTGATGTGACTGTTGAGCCTTTTCTCAAGCTGCATCTTTGACAGCCTGGGCTCTCTGATGTGAGAGACCCTGGGTTTTAATATTTCAGATGCAATATTAAATGTCCCCGCGCTTTCTGCTCGCCTCTTTTCAATGGCGTCTCGGATTGAATAGGGGAGGATAAATCATGAGCATGTGTCCACGATATTGTTGCTCACACTGATCACTGTCAGTGTAACTGAATATAAAACCAACTGTCTGCATGTTGAACTGATAATTCAGTATTCAGATTTTTTCTCCTCTTCCAGCCTCATGGTTTAAACATGAAACCAGGTGAGACATTGCAGCAGCTGTGAAAGACCCTGTTGAGCAGTCTGAAGTAGTCAAGCTTTACAGGTGAGTACCACTGTTTTTAATTAGAGTAGTTTTTGCATCCACTGATAGACCTGAAGCGAGTTTCATTGGCTTCTTGGTTTGCATGGAGATGCTAAACTGAATCTTCCTTGTGCTTCCTGACTGCTACATTACTTAGCAGCGCAGATTGAATTGAGGAATACATTTGAGCTTATTGGACATGAACCAGGCTCAGATTCATATATTAATGTAGTATGATTTAAGTAAATGTGGGTTTTTACTCGCTGAATCCACTTGATTCCAGTATATTGCTGCTACTTTTAGGACTGAACATCTAAAGAATCCTGTTTATACAGGCTGAGTGTTATCTTGTCTAATTGAGAATTCAAAGCAAATACTTGTTGCAGTAGGACCTTGTGCTGTATCTGATCCAGTTTAAATTCTCTTTCAGGTGAGACACTGAACCCCTGATGGAAATTGGACCAGTGGAACATCCTCTTCCTGAAACTTGTGACTAAATGTAAATTTATTTGTCTTTCATCTGACATTGTCTTACACGTAATGCATTGAAGCAGTATGAATCTACATTGTACTTGTGTTTGTTAAGAAATAAAAATGCTATTCAACTCCATGTCTGCATTTGATACATTTTTTTTTTTTACTTTTATGCCGTGTTGAACCTATGAATTCTGCATGGTGGTGCGAAACTATCCAGTTATCCACAGCTGCAGCAGCAAACCGCATTTTCAGCTAATCTGCATTCAAACTAACATTATACAGATTAGTAAGGATCAAAATTAAGAAGCCATTGGAACATGCAAGGGGTATTAAAGGGATAAATCTATTGACTCAATCTGAGGATTAAGGCAACGTTAAAATAACCAGGGTCTTTCTCAGGCTTCAATGAGCCTAATGATGTCTGTTTGTAGAAGTGAGGCATCAACTGGCTCAGTTAACCCTGAGTTTTTGTTATCTGTTAAGCTTGATACCATTCTTAAAGATTTCTACAATGTTTTATTATATTGAAACTTTATTACACATGTCAATCAGGTGTAAAACTTTAAAATTTTACAGTGAACATGAAACTGTGAGGATACAATATACGGGCACAAGTCTAAAAAAAATTGCCAGTGCAAGTTCAGGCTGAATCTTCCTTTTTTCCAAGTTATGGTGGAAGCCTGTAAAAGATCTAGCAAAACACATCTTTAAAGTTTCAAATCCATGTTCACATTTCTAAACATTTATAAATTCAGTGCATCTGCTTCATGAAAAACTGTCCTATGGCCCTGATGCACGGAAACTAAATCAAATACCAGATGGATTTAACCTGGAGGGTCTGCTGGAGATGAAACTCCATCAGGAAGGTGCACACTAGATTATAAACCTTAAGTTGTTTACCATCGATCCTCTGTCCTTTTACACAGTAAGAAGAGGTTACAACAACCTTTCCTGGGAAAAACAACTTGCGCTCATCCAGTGTGTTTTGAAACCTGATGTTAGGAAATCAGGAGTGAGCTTGTGGGCCCAACCAAGGCCTGATCAGGGAGGAACCCCCAATAAAGAGGTGGTACATTGACCTTGGGAGGATCAGATGCTATTCATCAGTCTTTTCCTCGGCGCGGTAATGTCGGTACTCAGGCTTGAGCTCCCATGTGTTCTTGTGTGTTCCCTTCACGTTGTAGATGCCAATATCTCTCAAGATTTCCTTCAAGTAACTCTGGGAGACAAAAGACAAAAGTTACTTTCAAGTTAGTAAGAACAAATGCATTTACTGCATATAATCTATTATCCATAATTTATTCTCTCAAGATAAAGCAGCAACAATTAACACGAAGATCTCAAAAATGTAATTGTGTTCTTCCTTCTCTTGTTGCCCTGTTGTCTTACCACAGGCTGTTTGGTGATATCCACCAGGTCCTTGATGTTGTAGAACTGGTGCTTCTCAAAAGCAGAAAACAACATGTCCAACACCTGCTGTTTGTCCACTCTCGCTCTCTTGCCCTCTTCCTTCTTTTTGCGATCATACTCGAGCTGAAGAAATACAGTTAAAACAGACTGTGGTCAGGTATCACTTAAGGGCGCACACCTTACGTTACAATCCTACACAGTATTTATTCCTTACATTGTAAGCATGGTTGGCCACAGGTTTGTAGTTGCTGGTGACAGCTTTGTCCAACTGTTGCGACAGCCTGGTTGGCTTAGAGGACTCCTCTATTTGTAACCTGTTAGATAATAAGAAATGCTCATAAATATGACATAAACCGTTTCCACACCTGTACACTATATTTCAATGTGATACCTAGTTGTACCCAGTTAACTTATATTTCAGTTCCTCCGCAGACTGATACCGATATTTGTGAGTAAAACGTTTCTGATGCCTTTATTTCCCCGAAAAACACGAATGATTTCTAACATGTCATTATCAAATCCTTTTGAGAAAGAAATGAAGATGAGGCATGATGTCATACAGTTTAACTATAAACTTCTAGTTGAAAAGACTTGAAATAAATACTCACCTCTTCAGCTTCATGTAACTTTCACTAACAGCAGGTCTGCACTCTGCTCTCTGCACTACCACTCCCTCCAAGGCTATTTTATCTGAAAAAGAGCAGAGTAGATTAAAAGAATAGTTCAATAGAAACTTGAAGTCCCAATGAGCTTTTAGTGCATGTTTGTTTCTTTGGTACCTGAATGGAGTGTTTGTATGTGTAAGTGAACAATGGGCAATTTCTTAAGAGAGAAAAACAATACACCCCAGAAACGAGGGTTTCCAAATTTATGAATCACGTTTAATCAGAGCTCTCTCCTAAAGTTGAAAGAAATTCAGCATGTCAGCAAAATCATGACCAGTAAAGTTTATTTCCCGATAACAGCTCTATTAAGCCGTTACGTTTTCGTTCTCACGTACAGCCCCTCCAGATAATTTCAGGAGTTCAGTGTGTGTCTGAAAGTAGCTAGTTTAACCCAAAATGATGTGACCAAATGATTTAAATACACTGAACAGGTAAAAGAAGAAAGGAAATCCCTAATTCTTAAACAACTGACTAAAGAACCACTCGATCACGTCACAGAGTCTTGGCTTATTTATATCGAGATTTGAAGGAAGCTTAACTCCAATGAACATTTCCAGCAGAGATATGAACTAACATTACTGACGACTAAAGCCATTGTCCTGATCAGGTAGCACTGTGCTCAAGCACAATCTCATCTCTGACCATATCCCCACCTTCCAGTCAGGATGGTGCAAACTAAGATGAGACTTGGTACCAAGTCATCCTCCAAAGCATGTATATGTCTCTATTGTGATTCTACAAAAGCCATTCATCCCCAAAAAATATTACACACTCAGTGTGTTTGATTCCCAGTGGTGCAATTTTTTGTCACTCACAGGCGATGCGGAGGACTCACCTGGACCTGCCCCCGCCCCCGAACCTGAGCTGGTGCCATCAGATCTCTCTTCTGACTGGCCTACAGGAAGGGAGGGAGGGATGGTGAACATGAAAATATAGGGGATGGAAGACGGAGGGAGGAGGGGATCGAACAGTAACTAGGGTTTAGTCGCACACGAAAACGTTAAATCACACAGTGCCACTCTGTGTATGTACAAATATACACATGAGCACATAAGCAAAGCAAGCATGCCCTTACAACAAGCCAGCGCAGACACCCTGTCCCACCACAAACACACATCCACAACAGGGCTGCACAAATACCTAACATATTATTTGAAACAGAGTAAAACACTGTATGTTTGCAATGCATTTCTCCAGTGTAAAGTTAAATAGTAAACAATAGTTACCTCTCTTCTCTTTCAGCCGCTGCCTTAGGCAGGTCTCCATTAAAAATTATTCATTTCTAGTTGTACTTATGAAAATAAAAAATACTAATGCCATTTCAGCTGTGCAGCCCTAAAGAGCAAAAAACATACACACACACACACACACACTTATACGATGGCGTCCCAACGTAAGCATGGAAGCACAAGCTCACCAGCACCCATAGCAACAAAATGTCTAAATTACTTTCAGGAGGCAGACAAGGCTGGTGAAATTCAAACCAAACCAAAGACACCCATGCACAAATTAAATCATCACCACACTGGGAATGATTTGTGTTGATATTGATCTAGTCTATGTTAAATCAATTCCAAATCAGGCCATAGATTCCGGATCATTTACTCAATCTGCTGAAGTGCATGACGGTGGATTGAAAAAATCAAACCACAACAAATGACTGACAAGTGATTAAAAACAAACTCAAATACACACAGAGACAGAAACACAAACATATTTCCAACAGACCAGCTTGCCACTATGTTTTAATGAGTCTGTGTATTGTCCGTTATGTACAGTACATTTGTACAGAGGGTAATTTCAGAGGGAAACGTTTTCTGACAGTTCACAAAACTTAGACAAGCAGGGCAGACGGGGAAGGACTGTGCATGAAAGACAGCAAGCAGTACAAACAGCAGCGGGATAGATGCCACCACCACCTGACAACAGAGAACTTACCTCTGGGCTCTAGAACAAACAGGTCGTTAATATAACACAAATTTACACTTGGCATCCTCTTGTATTGAGGGGAGGGACTCACCTGCCGAATTCTCAGAGTAGACCGCCAACAATTGACCTCCCACTGACTGCATGGTGAACGGGTGCTCACGGGGCACAGACGCCTTCTTGGCATCTATACCCTCAATCACCGTCAGCTCTTCATTCAGAGTAAAACTCACCTGTGGAGAAGCAGCATCATTTTTTGGCTTTTCAGCAAATGTTCTTACTTTTGATCTATTATCCTACAGCAGTATAACAATTCAAAAACACAGTCATGTATGCTATTAATGACGGTTCCAAACATAATTCAACGTGGATGAATTGTACTTCTTTCAAATATCACTTGCCTCTGCTTTTCCTTGGTTTCCTTTCCTAGGAGAGAAAAATTATAACGACGATAAGAATAACAGGTCATAAAATTCAATCTGAAATGCATCAGCAACACTACAAGAAATGTACCCTGCATCACGACAAATCATATTTCTATTTTCTCACACGTAAACACTGAATTCTGCTTTTGCACAGATGCTCAGTCGTTTCACATACTTGCAGATGCGGAGTTTCCCGACCTCGCCTCTGCCAGATGCTTTTGCCCATTGCTGAGAAAGGTATTTGGGCACCTGTGTGAATAAAGATGGGTTTATTTTATGAGAGGTGCTTTCACTAGTTTGATCATGAGATTAAAATCTGTGGCTGCATCATTTTAAGGCCCAACAATTCCCTTGAAAGATCTAAACATGCAGTATTTATTTAAAAAAGAAAAAGAAAATGTAAGCCTCATTGCTGACCTCATATACACTTCATATTAACCTGAAGTGGTTCAAGGAGTGGAATCAAACTATTGGAATAAATGGTTAAACCGTTATAAAGCACTAGTTTAATCCACCACTGTCTTTATATAGCCTGTTATTTCAATTCACTTCCAATTCAAGTGAATAGAAAGTGGATGTCTGGACCTCTGGTCTCTGCTTCCCACAGCGAAAACCTTTTATTCAGAGAACATAAACACAGGAGCTGAGTTTGCCACCATCATGAAAACATGTTCGTTGGCTGTGTTTACTGTTCCTTCACAGTTCTTCATCACGACAGCTGCAGAAGCACTGGACTCTCGTTGGAACAACAGTAAAGTGACATCACAGTAACTGAACGACGAGTATTTATCACTCAGCTCCTCGTTATCCTGCGTTAGCCACAACGCTCGTAGCAGCATGCTAAGCTACGTGACTGTTAGCTTTAGCTGCGTTTGAACGGACCCTGTAATTCGATGAGATTAATTCATGGATATAAACGAACACGCACCTTCACGAGCCAAACCCCCGTGTTCTGCTTGGCACCAGTTAAATCCACTTCTCCCTTTTCGGACATGTTTTAAACAATAAAGAAAGCTCGTCAACGCAACAGCACACGCATGCGTACGGTGTACTACGGCAGCTCTGAAGGGACAATCGGCTTTTGTCTTCCTTCTTATGTCTCCCAACACCAGCAGCAGTCTTTCTTTATAACTACAGTTAATGCATAGATGTGAGATAACAACAGATCCAAGACTTCATTTATATACATATATCTTAAAGAAAATAAGTTTGATCAATTTAAAATAGAACAAAGAAAATTATATTTATTGATATAACATGAAAGACTATGAAGCTACAAAGGGTACATGTGGCGTAACAACGCATTTTACAGCAATCTGTACCACAAAAAAAAGGTTTTACGTGTAATCAAATAAATCAGTCAGTTTTCTACTTTTCTAGCAGGACGCCAAAGAGAAATCGGGTTTGAAAAAATAATAGTTTCCAAATTTGTTATATAATGCTTTATATTATGAATAGTGGTGCTAACTCTGTTTAAACAAAGACAAAGGGTCTTTTTGTCACTTTCTTCTCAGTTCTTTTTTTTTTACATTTTCACTGATTTCCTACAGTATAATTCATGGATCTTTAAGAAAAAGTAAAGAAAGCATGTGCAATATGGTGCGGCCTGATTGAGATGAAGGGGACTGTTGGACCTTGGGATATATATGTGCTGAATTATAAGAATATCCTGACATTTTCCAGCTTATCAGAGAAAAATTACAAATGTGACTTCAGTCCAACGGGATGAAAATCAACAAAATTTAATTGAACAGATTATTGGTTCCAAATTTCAAAACATTACCTGATTTCACTGGATATCAATATAAGAAAAATGCACATCTTTAATATTCACTTCCATATCATTAGACCTGAAACAGGGTCTCCTGAACAAAAACAAGTTTCACTAGCTGCAGCTTTATAACAGCATGAATCAGTTTGAGGCATTTTCCAGTCCAGTCATGTCATATAGTCTGTTTTATAAAGTCTATGTGACCTCATATACCAACACAAAATGAAATCCTCAAAGACCTGCATCTGTAGAGACAGCCAATGTTGTAAAAAACTCAGTATGAAAATATCACCAGCTCGACTGTGGCTGCAGGTCTGCACATTTAAACACAGCACATTCTTGACTGTTACAGGAACATTCGGTCCTTGCTGTGGGAGAAACGCGTGTTCAGCTCCTGAGATTTCTTCAGCAGCCGCTGCTTTTGGGCCTCGTCGAAGCGATTCACCTGCAGGTCCTCGTCTCGATCGAACGGCCTCCTCTCCACTGGCTTGTCGGCCTTCTCCTTTGCTTTTTCCTTCATTTTCTTTGAGTGCAAAGTCATCAGAGACTCAGCACGCTTAGACTCCTGAAAGCAGGCAGTGGGGTCATTCATTATATATAGAGAGACATGCAGGAAAAAGGAATAATGAGGTAAAAGCACTTACATTATACTTTGACACTGTCTCTGCCATTTCTAAGTCCTTCCGGGGGACTTGTGGGACACTGTCTTTCTCCTCCTCCTCCTCACCCTTCTTCTTTTTCTCGAGGCGTTCCTATTAGGCAAGAACAGACAGATGAAAGTAAAGTAATATATAAAGGCTCCAAGACGCTTGATAAAAATGACAGATAAGTTGTTTTACCCTGGCCTTGCGCTCTCTGTCTGCTGGTGTATCTGTCCACATGGAGCGATCTTTGTTCTCCGGACCTGATTTCTTCTTGAAAGTTCGAGCCCCTAAACCAATGTGCTGCAGTTCTGGTGGGAGCTCTGTCATCCATGTTTCTCTGGAAAGTACCTCAGGAGTCTCCTAATTACACAGAAACACACAGAATTAAGTCAGACTGCAGAGGAAGAAAACCTTAAAAGGAACAGGAAATTGTAGCTCCAAACATTTTGCGTAACTTATGTTTTAAATATTATATTTTTTAAAGCCGAGAACTATAAACTGTAGCATTTGTACAGTGTAGACTACGCAAATACAATTAAGGGAAGAAAAGGAGGACTAACATCTCCAGTGAGCTTATCTTTCATCTTCTGTGCTCTGCGCTCAAAGTCCTGAGCCACAGAGTCCCTGATAGGCCCTTTGGATGGCATGGGTCCAATCACTTCCTCATCCTCTCCCTCGCTGCTGGTGGGCTGAGCCTGGTAGCCTGGGGGTAGGGCAGGCCCCTCACCATCTCCGTTATCCTCATCATCATCATTCTCATCGTTATCATATGCTGCTCTACGAAACCCAGGAGGCAAAGCTGGTCCCAGCACAGGCAGCCTGATGGAACACAATAAAGTTACAGCTTCCATATTTAAAGTAATTATTCACACTGTTATCCTCAACTACTTAAGTGAAAATGTGTTCATTTACCTCTCTGGTGAACTCTGTTGTTTCTTAAATCCTGGTGGGAGAGCTGGTCCAAAGAAATCGTCATCATCTTGTGTCTTTGTTTTCTCTGCCCTGTTCAAAACACACGTTACTTTTCTGTTTTTTGATACTTTTAATTCTTTGGTACTATTTTACTATTAAATTGTTGAATCTCTATAATTTATACATGGCTGTAATAAAAAGCTTGATGAATGGTTAATCAATTATTTACAAACACTTTACAGATCAGTTCTAAGCCATTAATCTGAATAACTTTTGGGTTGCCAGGTTGTGGGAAATCCCCCTTTTGTATTACACTTGTCTTCAAAGGAAACTCTTTATGCCTCTTCTTGATGAGGAGCATTTACTTATAAACTGCTTAATAACATTTACAACTGCAGTTGTGGTGTGGTACAACTATTGTTATAATTAACTTATAAGCAGTTATAAGAGTTTGACTCACTGCACAAAACATAAAATGTTGATAGTAAAAGCTTTTTCTTACTTAATTTAATTTTAGAAGTTCACATTCTGTTCTTTGAATAAGAACGAAAGTTTAAATGGCGATTATGTTGATTAGTTAGTGTATAATCGACTTATCGTTGCATCTCTATTCGTGATTTACTCAATTTCTACAGAACCATTAGCAAAAGCTAAATTACCAGCACCTAAAATGTTAATAATTCACAGGTTCTGCAATGCAGTGTGCAGTTGTGGTAGAAACTGCATTATCAAACAGCTTACAAGTGCATTTTGTCCTTTTTGCAGAGGGAAGGAGGTCAAACTTAGAGCCGCGTCCTTAGTGAATTAAAGAGCTAAAAGATAATAACAAGAGGCAACACACAAGCTGTTGTTATTGATGGTTATAGAAGATCTATAAAGAATGAATTGTATTGATCAGTAATAAACCCACTGATCGTGCTCCTGTGTGTAACATGGCTGAACCCACCGTGCAGGTCCGTCTTCAGCTGAGTGTCTCGTCTTGGCTCTTTTCACCGACACCTCCTGCTCGCTCTCATCCGACGAGCTCGACGGTTCCCCCCGCTTGTATCCCGGAGGCAGAGCGGGACCAGCGACTGGACAATTGGGGAGGAAAACAGCTGAACACCGAGGGAAACTCTTCCAGACACAAAGTGAAGTGACCGACACAACACTGACTCTGAGGTGAGGTTGCGTTGGCTCTCATACTCACACCCATCTTCACTGTCAGAGTCTGCGTCGCTGTCTCCTCCGAACATGGGAGGCAGAGCCGGTCCGATCAGTTCATCAGACGACATATTAACACTACTTTATATTCATGCAACTTATTTAACGTGGCTTCGTTAATTTCTAATAGAACAATGAAGCTGCACCAGAGAAACCATGGATGTGTGGAGAGATTTCACCTTTCACACCGGAAGTAAACACTGAGCATCTTGAGGGGAAGTCACATTAAAACAGGAAGTTAGCCACTTTCCTGCAAGAATAAAAGCAAAAAAATAAAAAAACAATTCTTTGTGAAATCATTAAACAGTTTGATCTTGTCTGACCACGTTATAATTTTACTTCACTTCATTTCAGATCTTGTACTTTTCACTCGTCTACATTTATCTGACAGTTAATATGAAGTTTTATTCATCCTAAAATGTAAAGCTTATAGAATTTGATTCTCCTCATCATTATAGATTAAACTTGCCAAATTATATAAGTAAGGCCAATACCATTGTGTGAATATCAATAGATTTGATAATAAGATACTTTTTCAAATTGATTGGTTCCAGCTTCTGATTGATTTTCCTTTTTATAATACCAACTGTATTATTTAACAAACTTTTAATAATTAGGTTAATGTTGAACAAAACACATGCTGTGAACTTTTTGGTAAGTGTGCTTGTATTTAAAAAAATGTCACTTGGTTAATTAAAGAAACTCACGTTCATAAATTAAAAAGGTAGTTCGGTTCAGTATATAATGGACAAATAGCTTTTTCACAACACATTGGATCGGTAACATGAGAAGACTAAAAATCTAGTGATGTAACATATTTTATAACAGTTTACATATTTACTGTTTGTACATTTTCTGATCATCTTTTCATACCTGTAATGGAGTTTTTAAACTCTTATTTTGAAGTTGGCCGGAACTGATCTCCTGTTTAACACCGTGTCGCAGTAACAGAAACGTCTCGTAGTTCAGCTGCTCTGAGCAGAAGAGCAGCTCTGACTGAATGTGAAGATTAAACCGACATGTGTTGATAAAGACTGTTGATCGAAACGTTTATAAAATGGGTAAAAGAGACAAAGGAGACCGCGGTGAGTTGCTAATGCTACTTTTTTAAAACCCCTGCTAAGCTAGCTGTTAGCATTGTTAGCCGTGTGACAGGGACAGGATCCTAAAACCTGGATTCATTGTTACTTGCAACTCACATTTCCTTTCTCTATCATAACTGTACACTGGCACCACTTTGAGTCTTTGAACGCATCCTTGAATGTCTGTGTTGATGAGAAGAAGCAGATGCAGTGAAAGGATTGTTCAGGGTTTGGTTATTTCCTCTTGCTAAAATATAATAACAATTATTTCCCATAACAATGATATGTGTGTATGATTATCGTATTATTATGAACTGAAATGCAGAAGTAATACACTAAAAGACATTAATGTGTAATACAGCATCTTTTTTATACACAAACACTAAGAGACTTGATCTTAACATCAGCAGGTCTCATGTTAAATTATCATATAGTTGAAAAAACTAAAATAGTCAGAAAGCAGAACAGTTGTAGTCAAAGGACACATGCTGTTTTTTAAAGCGTCACCAGAAGTGTGTTTGAAATCTTAATATGAGAAAAATTCATGGATATAGTTCTGTGTTGTTACTGAGAACGATTTCTAACTCTTGCAGAGTCCAAAAAGTCCAAGAAGCGTTTCCACGATGACGATGACGATGAGGAAGAGGCCGGGGGCAGCGAGTCTCAGGAGGCCATACCCGCTGCCGCAGGGAAACAAGTGGATGAGTCCAGCACGAAACTGGATGAGTATGGAGCCAAAGACTACCGAGCTCAGATGCTGCTGAAGAACGATCACAATTCACGGCCCCTCTGGGTGGTAAGAGGCGCTTGGATTGTTGGTTTCCTCATTTGATACAGTTTTTTAGGACTTGCTGTTTTTACAGTATATTGTAAAGGATGGTATGTCTCGATTATCATCTTTTCTTTTTTCCCTCCTCTAGGCCCCAGATGGTCACATCTTCCTGGAGGCCTTCTCACCGGTGTATAAGTACGCCCAGGATTTCTTGGTGGCCATCGCAGAGCCGGTGTGCAGGCCGAACCACATCCACGAGTACAAGCTGACGGCCTACTCTCTGTATGCAGCTGTCAGTGTGGGGCTGCAGACCTCTGACATTGTGGAGTACCTGCAGAAACTCAGCAAGACGTCTGTACCTGATGGAATCGTGCAGTTTATCCAGGTCAGATTGAGAGAGAGAGCGTCGGCTGTTTTTAGAGGAAGGTTGTTGAAGAAATTGAAAATGTGTTGTTTTTAATGTCATGTGCATCATTTGTTTACCTAATCCTTGCATTTACTCCCTCCTCATCTCTTAGCTCTGCACAGTGAGCTACGGAAAAGTCAAGCTGGTGCTCAAGCACAACAGGTAAAGTCATGTCAGCAACCTTTCCTTCTGCCTTTTATCATCCCTTCAGTGATCCTCTGACAGTGCTGCCTGTGCTGCCCTCAGATACTTTGTTGAGAGTGCCTTCCCCGATGTGATCCAGCGTCTCCTGCAGGACAATGTGATCCGTGAATGTCGTCTCAGGACTGCAGATGGCGCAGACACTGAGCTTATTACTGAAGTCATCCACAGCAAGTCAGCGGTATGCCACTGATGTCTGTTTTTACACACATTCAAACATAAAATAATGTATCATTGTTTTAGTTTTAAATAACGTGACTTTAAACCTGCTTTAAACAAACATGTTTGTTTATGTATATATATATATGTACATACTATTGGGTAGTATTTATATATATATAGATATATAGATATATACATAATTAATTTTGGGTGAGGTCAAAAGTACAAAAGATTTAAGACGTTCGTCCAGAAATGGTCATTAACATACAGACCTGGTATTAACATCTGTCCTGAGAGATCTGATCACAAGTGGACAGCTCTAAGTTTGTCTGTTGACACCTGGCTTTAAAATTTGCCTGTATCTTCTGTGACCACTTGTGATTGGATCTCACTTTCCCACTCAATATGCAAATAAACATGCAGTCATTTTTGTTCTCTGAGACCAAACAATGTTGTTTTTACCCAGACTGAGTTTACAGACTGTTTCAATTTCTGTCATAATCATGGTGTAACTTTCCCCTAACACAATTTTAAAATCATCATTTACCCCTAAACATTTAGAAAATACTACCCAATAATAAACCCATAGTAGTTTAAAATCACACACAAGTATAATGTGCTGAACTCCACAGGGTGGGGATGTATCATGCAGCTACGGTTAGTTAGCAGCACAACCAGAATCTTCTGCCTGTTTATAGTCACATATATGATACAAGGATGTTTAAATTATATTCCATCGAATTAAAAGCAATTAAATCATGTTTTAGATCTAATAAAAAACAAATAATTCACGTTCTAGATGTTAATCTGAATTACCTGTTGAGCCTTTGTTAATGATTATTAACAAATCTTGTATAATCATATTAACAAACAATAATATCAAAGGCGCAACCAGGAACACTGATCCGTATTTACCGCTTTATGTGGATTTATTTCTCAAATATTGGCCACATGGACACAAAGCTTTATCTAACCGGTCACCTCAGGTTTCCCTCTGATGCTGATCCCAGTGAAACCACCTCAAACACTAGATTAAGACAGAGGTGATTCCAGGTGACAAACGACTGAGAGCCGATCTTCAGTTAGCTAAAGCAAATACTCCAGTATCGGGCTACCCTCGTCCTACAAACAGACACCTGTGACTGAAATGTGCTGCAGACAGAAAGTCAAGTCTTTAGGGCTGAGGAGCTTGAAAGTCATCAATGGCGCCGCATCACTGGAACACAACACAGGAGTAACAAAAATCACATGTTTTTATATCAAGTCAGAGGCAACAGAGCTATTGTCCTTGTCATACATTTAACATATGTCCCTGTGTGTGCATATGGGTGTGTGTCTGACAGATCTCGAAGTCTGTTTCGGAAAAGGGAGGTACGTCCAACTCACAGCAGCCCAGCGAAGGACAAACTTCTACCCAGCAAGTCCCTGAGGACATCTTCAGCTACTATGAACAGATGGATAAAGAGGAGGAGGAGGAGGAGGAGACTCAGACGGTTTCCTTTGAGATTCGCCAGGTACACGTCTGATTTCATCACTCAAATTAACTCAAAAAGCTCTATTTCTTATTTGTGTTTTTTTTTAATGCACAGAAAATAAAACTGCATTTCCCCCTTGATGTACCTATAATTAAACATGTATGTAGGGTAAAAGATGGCAGTATATTTGATTATCAGTATTTCAAAATCAATACCTTGCCACACAAATTAAAAAATAGTTTTCTTTATCGTCTCTGAATCTGGTGTAGGAGATGATCGAAGAGCTGCAGAAGCGTTGCATTCAGCTAGAGTACCCCCTCCTGGCAGAGTACGACTTTCGCAATGATACTGTCAACCCGGACATCAACATAGACCTGAAGCCCACCGCTGTGCTGCGGCCCTACCAGGAAAAGAGTCTGCGCAAGATGTTTGGAAATGGACGTGCTCGTTCTGGGGTCATCGTGCTGCCCTGCGGTGAGACAGCTGGAGCAAAGGGAGGACAGAACATTGAGTGACAAAACAGAAAGGACCACAATTCTAAAAACAAAGGATTAAATGAAACTCTGAATAATGTATTGTATAAAAAGTTAAACAGAGGGATTTGCTCTCCAAGAATTTATATCATACCCTCCAAAGCTTATTTGAGCGTTAATCTCTGTGTAAAAGGTTTTGCAATAATTTTAATTCCTTTGCTTTCCAGGAGCTGGCAAATCTCTGGTGGGTGTGACAGCAGCGTGCACGGTGCGTAAACGCTGCCTGGTGCTGGGTAACTCCTCGGTGTCAGTGGAGCAGTGGAAGGCCCAGTTTAAGATGTGGTCCACAATCGATGACTCTCAGATCTGCCGCTTCACGTCCGACGCCAAGGACAAACCCATCGGCTGCTCGGTGGCCATCAGCACCTACTCCATGCTGGGTCACACCACCAAGCGCTCCTGGGAGGCCGAGAGGGTCATGGAGTGGATGCGGAGCCAGGAGTGGGGACTCATCATCCTGGACGAGGTGCACACTATCCCCGGTGAGCTGTTATAGTACAAGTGCTTTCCAGAAAAAAGCTCCAGTGAAGTTAATCAATGCACTAACGCAATAATTCCTCGTTTTTCTCTGTAGCCAAGATGTTTCGTCGTGTTCTGACCATTGTCCAGGCCCACTGCAAACTGGGGCTCACTGCCACACTGGTCAGGGAGGACGACAAGATTGTGGACCTCAACTTCTTAATAGGGCCAAAGCTGTATGAGGCGAACTGGATGGAACTGCAGAACAATGGCTACATCGCTAAAGTCCAGTGTGCTGAGGTGAGTCTTTCAGTATTAAACCAAAAATTTGGGCTGGGGTCTCACATGTAGTAGAACATTTTCTTTGCAAAGCCTTGAACTACTACTTTCCTTTTATGAATATTCCTTACATGTCCAAGAACACATGAGCATGTTCCTCACTGATAAATCTGAACCATGTCTCTGCTTCAGGTTTGGTGCCCGATGTCTCCAGAGTTCTACAGGGAGTACGTGGCCATTAAGTCAAAGAAGCGCATCCTGCTTTATACCATGAACCCCAATAAGTTCCGTGCCTGCCAGTTTCTCATTCGCTTTCATGAGCGCCGTAATGACAAGATCATGGTCTTTGCTGACAACGTCTTTGCCCTGAAGGAATACGCTATTCGCCTCAACAAGTAAGTCGTGTACAGTCAGAACAACTTGTTTCTGTGTATTTCCTCTTTAGGTTTGTTTACATCTCCTCTTGCTCTGTCGTCTTCAGACCTTACATCTATGGTCCAACATCTCAGGGGGAGCGAATGCAGATTTTACAGAACTTTAAACACAACCCTAAGATCAACACCATTTTCATCTCCAAGGTAAAGTCAGCCTCATGGATTTACTGCATGTGAGATGGACCACCATAGGCCACAGTGGGCCCTCTTGTGGCCAGTAAGAGAGACACCAGTATTTCTATCTTACTTGCCTCTTATCAGTGTGTTCACATACACATTTATAATATTATGGTACCAGATAAAGATGATTTTATGATTTTATCCTCATTTCACACATTTACCTCATTCTCTGAAAAATCACATATTACTTGATATTAATGAGATGACAGGTTATATCCTCTTTGCACTTTGCCAGAGATTCAGATCTTGACACTGGACAGTAAATGCATTCTGGCATGGTGATGACATTGATGGTGGTAATATCACGTTTCTACGTCTCTGCCAACAGGTTGGAGACACATCATTTGACTTGCCAGAAGCCAATGTTCTGATCCAGATCTCCTCCCATGGTGGGTCACGCAGGCAGGAGGCCCAGAGGCTTGGTAGAGTCTTACGAGCCAAGAAAGGTCAGTGTGTCTGCAACAACAAAAAAACCTGCTAGGATTGTTTGCTCACACATGACAAATACTTACATGACTGTCTTACTTGTGTAGGAATGGTCGCAGAGGAGTACAATGCCTACTTCTATTCGCTGGTGTCCCAGGACACACAGGAGATGGCTTACTCCACCAAGAGGCAGAGATTCTTGGTGGACCAGGGCTACAGCTTTAAGGTGGTTTCAAGTCCTTTGTGTCTCCTCTAACTTCATCTGGCAGATTGTCCGATCTTTTCATCAAACTCGAACATGGCCCAAATAGTTTGCTCTCACAGTTTGGAAAAAGGTCACACGCGACACACAAAAGATTAATTTTACTTAGTTTTGTATCAAAGTAGTGTAATACCTGTAGTATATAATTGAAAATACTTAATTTATATAATAAACAAATTGGGTTTTCTTGTCTCTGTTATTCATACACTTGCTCTAGATGCGTTGGTGCCTGATATTATGTTGTCAGAGGTCTAGGGATCTGGCTCCAGGCTCCAGGCTCATCAACAATGAAATGTTTTGCTGCATCTATTTATTGAGAGAAATGGAGCTTTTGTTGAATCACAAATGACTAGAAATGAAATGTAAAAGAGATTTTATGCAGCATTCAAAAACTTGTCTTTGTTGTAAATTCAGCCATTAAAATTTAAACTTTTTATTTTTTGTTGTACTATTTACAATGACAATAATGTTCAATCAAATCTAAATTGAAATTTGTTCTTCAGGATGATTGGAAAAATGTTTATAAAAAGGAAAATTTTTGTGCTGTGATCTTTGATCTTCATTTATGTGACGTCCCATTGTGTTCTGGTTTACAAATACTGGTTCTAATGCTGCGTGTCCCTCTTCTTTCATAGGTCATCACGAAGTTGGCAGGTATGGATGAAGAAGACTTGATGTTTTCCAGCAGAGATGAGCAACAGCAGCTGCTGCAGAAGGTCCTCGCTGCGTCAGACCTGGATGCTGAGGAGGAAGTGGTGGCGGGGGAGGTGGGCGGACGACCACAGGTGAAGACGTTTGCCAAACTTTTACTCAGAATACACTTGCATGCAATTGCTTACTGTTGTTTTCGTGTATTATCAAAACAATTCTAATGTTGTCATCTCTCGCTGCTTCCTTATCAGTTCTCGAGGCGAATGGGCACCATGAGCTCCATGTCTGGTGCAGATGACACTGTCTACATGGAATATCAAAGCAGAGGCAGCAAAGCGTCCTCGTTGCTCAAGAGCGTTCATCCGCTGTTCAAGCGCTTCAGAAAGTAGATGCACTGACTCAGACGGTCACACCGAAATACCTACTTAGTTGCTTCTGGATAACGGCACAATGACGGCTGAAGCCAATATGCTGGGAACCGTGCTACCAACAGAGGCTTCAGATAGTCCAGCTGGTGTGGAGAACATGGCAGTGACTGAAGCAAACCAGAAACTGAACATTATCTTAAGCTTATGATGATATACTGGATGCTGCTTCCTCCTGGTAGGTACATCTGGTAGGATGCAGCGAAAGACGCCTGCAGGGCTCAGCTGCTCCGTGTGTTTAATATGAAAGGTTCCGCTCCAGCATCCTCAAACACCTCCATGCACGACATTTGAGGATGAAATAATATACAAACCCTGTCAAGGTGTCTACTACTGTTGCCTCTGATTTGATATTAAAACATATGATTTTTGTTACTCCTGTGTTGTATTCCAGTGATGCGGCATCATTGATGACTTTCAAGCTCCTCAGCCCTCAAGACGTTGACTTTCTGTCTGCAGCACATTTCAGCCACAGGTGTCTGTTTGTAGGACGAGGGTAGACCGATACTGGAGTATGTGCTTTAGCTAACTGAAGATCGCCTCTCATTCGTTCCTCACCTGGAATCACCTCTGTCTTAATCTAGTGTTTGAGGTGGTTTCACTGGGATCAGCATCAGAGGGAAACCTGAGGTGACCAGTTAAATACAGCTTTGTGTCCATGTGGCCAAAATTTGAAAAGTAAATCCAGATAAAGCGGTAAATACGGATCAGTGTTCCTGGTTGCGTCTTTAGTGTAATTTCTTAATATGATTGTTAAGAAGAATTTACGTCTTTGCAATGTCACCAAATGGTTTTTGGAAAACAAACTTCTTTGGATTTACCTATTTTTTCTGTGTTTTTGCACGTGTTTAAACTTTTAAACTATAAAAATGTGCCACATTAAGAAAATATAACATTTCACAAGCAGAGATGAGGCTATAATTGAAGTATTTGTGTCATATACAAGTGCAGCAGGAGTGTGGAGGGAGGACACTCTGACATGGTACAAACAAACCACTGCTTCTGCTCTGATTCTGAAGCTGCGGCACTAATTGTGCTACAACGTTGATTTGTTTTGTATTCAGACATTCTGTTTCCACTGTTCGACATGCGTCACCCTGGTCCCCGCCTCTTCTCCCTCATCTCTGTTTGATGTGTGTCAGTGTGAGTAAACGCCTCGGAGGAGAAAAGGAAGCGACACAACTCGTATTGCAATAATAATTATAATATACACTCACCACTTTATTAGGTAGACCTTGCTAGTACCAGGCTGGACCCCCTTTTGCTTTCATAACTGCCTTAATTCTTCGTAGCATAGATTCAACAAGGTGTTGGAAACATTCCTCAGAGATTTTGGTCCATGTTGACATGATAGCATCACGCAGTTGCTGCAGATTTGTCGGCTACACATCCATGATGCGAATCTCCCGTTCCACCACATCCCAAAGGTGCTCTATTGGATTGAGATCTGGTGACTGTGGAGGCCATTGGAGTACAGTGAAGTCATTGTCACGTTCAAGAAACCAGTTTGAGATGACATGGTGCATTATCCTACTGGAAGTAGCCATCAGAGAAGATGGGTACACTGTGGTCGTAAAGGGATGGACATAGTCAGCAACAATACTCAGGTAGGCTTGTAGCGTTTAAACAATGCTCAATTGGTACTAAGGGGCTCAAAGTATGCAAAGAAAATATCCCTCACACATTACAACACCACAAACTTGAACCGTTGATACAAGGCAGGATGGATCCATGCTTTCATGATGTTTACGCCAAATTCTGACCCTATCACCTGAATGTTGCAGCGTTCAGAGATGGTTTCTGCATACCTCGGTTGTAACGAGTGGATGTTTGAGTTACTGTTGCTTTTCATATCATCTCAAACCACTCTGCCTATTCTCCTCTGACATCAACAAGACATTTTCACCACGTCTAGATGCCATAATGCAATCAATGGTTTTTTTCTTTATTTTTGTCTAAGTTGCAGATTAATATTGAATACATCAAAACTATGAAGGAGCACATGGAATTGTGTGGTGAACAAAAAACAGAATATGTTTTATGTTTTAGATTCTTCAAAGTAGCCACCTTTTGCTTTGATGACAGCTTTGTGGAATTTCTTGCCTTGTTAATGTGTTTGAGACCACCAGTTGTGTTGTACAGAGGCAGGGTTGGTGCACAGTTCTATACAGTGAATAGGCCTATTCGACTACAGTTCTAATCCTTATTATGGCAAGAACCACTTAACTAAGTAAAAAGAAATGACAGACCATCATTACTTCAAGACAGGAAGGTCATTCAATCTGGAATATTTCAAGAACTTTGAATGTATCCTCAAGTGCAGTCGCAAAAACCATCAAGCGCAATGATGAAACTGGCTCTCATGAGGACCGCCCCAGGACAGGAAGACCAAGAGTTACATCTGCTGCTGAGGATAAGTTCATTAGAGTTACCAGCCTCAGAAATCTCAAATAAACAGCACCTCAGATTAGAGCCCTGATGAGTCCAAATTTGAGATTTTTGGTTCCACCCGCCATGTCTTTGTAAGATGCAGAAAGGGTGAGCGGATGATCTCTACATGAGTGGTTCCCACGTTGAAGTATGGAGGAGGAGGTGTGATGGTGTGGGGGTGCTTTGCTGGTGACACTGTTGGTGATTTATTCAAAATTTAAGGCATACTTAACCAGCATGGCTACCCCAGCATTGTGCAGCGACATGCCATCCCATCTGGTTTGCGCTTAGTGGGACCAACATTTGTATTTCAACAGGACAGTGACCCCAAACACGTCTCCAGGCTATTTAAGGGCAATTTGACCAAGAAGGAGAGTGATGGAGTGCTGCGTCAGATGACCTGGCCTCCACAATCACCCAACCTAAACCCAATTGAGATGTTCTGGGATGCATTGGACCGCAGAGTGATGGTAAAGCAGCCAACAAGTGCTCAGCTACTTTGAAGAATCTAAAATATAAAACATATTCAGGTTTGTCTAACACTTTTTGTTTACCACATGATTCCATATGTGTTCCTTCATAGTTTTGATGTATTCAATATTAATCTGTAGACAATTTTATTATTTAATGTAGACAAACCTAAAGAAAAAGCCATTGAATGAGAAGGTGTGTCCAAACTTTTGTCTGGTACTGTATATTATGATAATACATTTTGTACATTTCTGTCAAGATCCCACAGAACACCTGGACTTGTCCCACTGCACACCATTTGGGAACCACTGTTCTAAGAAACTAATGATTATTAAAATGTGTCTTTTATATACAGAGACATATTTCAGACAAAATAATGGCAAGACACAGAAAGACTGCATTTAAACCATTGTTTTTCCTGTCAGGAGATTGTTGGCCGTTGATCAAATTTCTCAGACCACCATTACACGCATTATAAAACTTAGATCCTTATTGAATTTAGGATTTGTAAAATCCGGGTAAAGGGAGGTGAGGGTTTGTTTGGGCTTTTTGAAGACTTTCCCAAAAAGAAAATACACATGCATCTAGAGCCTCGTGCCTCGTGCAAACTAGAAATTGCTAGAAATTACGATTAGCAACCTTTTACGTAAAACAACAGGGATTAATTCCACCGTGAAGGGGTCTATCTGTGGCTTAGTTGGTCCAATGTGAGCATTGTGGAAACTCAGGAGTTGAAGCTCATTGGCTTGGGAGACATCAAAACTATCGAGGTAGATTCAAATTCACATGGTGGTGAAGATATGGGTGAGAGGTGCAGAGACTGGACAGGGACACAAGTAAACGTTTGATAGTGTAATATGTAAAATTAATACAAGAGATCCATCAGAATATTCTTGTTTGTGATTTGTGTAACTTCTGATTATCTTTTTTAACTGAACAGAAGATTTGGCTCTGTATGTTTCTCTGAATTGAAGAAAAGGCCTTTTGAATGTTAGAGTTAAAAGATCACACCAAACTTTGGCCATGATTAACATGCAACAATTTCCCATTCGCTTAAAGTGTCATCAAGCACTGGTGCAACATTCATCTCTTGGGAAAAGGGGCAAAATTGGCCGTCAGGTTCAGGAGAAATGTTCCACATAAATCTCATGGCTGTGTGAGCTCCACACTGAGATAAGTCCCCCGCCTCCTGCAGACTGTACACACGCCATCAGAATTCCTTTAAGGTAAAACTTGCTCAACATTTTCAAACAGTGAGGTGTGCAAAGGACTGGTGATTTGTTTGAAAGATGAGGGATTTTCCTTTTGTTACACAATATGACTGGTAATGGTACATATGAAGTTTGGCTTCATGTTACAGGTAATCCCTTTTAATCATTGTCACAGACAATGTGTGTGTGTGTGTGTGTGTGTGTGT